TCCAATAAAAATCAAAATATCCCAAGCACACAAATACACTTCACAGTTTCGAAATTTCTAGTTTCTTGATACCATCCACTATTATTTTAGACAAAGCTCAAGTGCGGAAAATGACCTTTCAAAATAGGCTTCATCGAAAATGTCGCCATTTTTTCCACAGTACGAAATCCCTATTCACAGCGTTATTTGCTGTATGTTTTGAAATGTGAAAATCGGATAATTACTGGGAGTATTGAATTAACATATAACATATTCAACAGACAAAACAATGATGTATATTGATTGGCCAGGTGCGCGTTTGTCGGAAACGTTTTTTGATTCACTATCATTGTTTTCGATATTATTATCAATTCATATTCGATTAAAAAATATTGTGATGACAGGTTATCAAACTCTAACCATAGTTATACGAAAATTGTTTACAAATATATAAACCATGTCATGTCTTAATTTGGACAAATCTTACATCCATATTCTAATATATAGTTCCAAATATAAAAATCTATCTTTTTGCATCTCCAATTGCATACTTAAGAAGAGAAATAGCTACATAATCATAAACAAAGAAAATACTTATCCTAAACAAAATATTCGGGTGTTGTGAAATATTATTTTTCATTTACGTGAAATTGATGCCAAACAGGTGCGCGTGTTGCTCACAATAAGATACACAGTCATACCGTCCAATTGTTGATATGTTTAGGACACTATGTAAATGGTAATTTCAGTCATTTTATGTTTTGTCTAAGGAGTGTTAAATTCTGACATGGAAGCCGAGACCTTTTATACAATTAATGGAAATTAGGTGAGATATATACTAATCAGCATACCAATGTCGTCTTTTTCCGACCAAGCAAAATGCATAAAACAAGCAATGGCGTCAACTAAAATGTTGTATAATTTTCAGCAATTTCATTACATTTGAAGATATGACTAGTACTCTGGTAATAAGGATGCAAAATTAGTCAAAATACATCTACACAAACAGGAGAATTTTGGAATCTAAAAACTAACTTATATATCGGATATGGCCATCCAAATCGCTTTTACGTGTTTTTACATGTAGTACGTTGTCACCTTTTCTTATAAATTGTGAAACTACCAAAGCGTATCCGCTCACATTGGGGATCTTTGAATTGGAATAGTTTGGTTCACGGTGAACAGAAAATAACGAAAATGTAGCGTCCGTATCCACAACAAAGTCTCTCAATGTGATCTGAGTTATATTGACCTAGTGTTAAGCATATCGGAGTAATGCCCCCTTATCATTATCATACGTGTATGACCTCTTTGTCGTCTTTTGGCGTCATAGAAGAAAATCCATTTTTGACATTAATTGCGAGTCATTTTTAATGTTGAGCGTATAACGTTATGCACAAGCACATAAACCCAATTCATATACACTTATGTCGTACAAATATCAGTCTGTATTTTCTTCGCTCACACTTTCCGTAAAGATGCCAAATTAAAAAAATCGTAGCACCGTGCTAGCACGGTGCGCGATAAAAAGCGGGGAAGTTTACTGTTGTTTAACGCATAACAAAAATTTTGACAATATTTAGCAAGGTATATTTCTCAAATCGCCGAGGTAGTTGCACTTATATTTATACCAACGGATAGGAAATTAAATATTCTACATTTCTGTGTAATTGTATAGCCGTACGTAGATCCAGGACCACGCGAGCGCAATTCTCGCACAACGTTCTCTTTTCAAACCGTATGAAAATGTGCGCCTGAAAAAACCCTCGGCATCCAGGGGATTAAGTGCAACAGGAGTGTGCCGCATTTTCAAAAACACCTGGCATCATCATCACTATAGGGCTTCATAGTGAGTGACTGAGTGAGTGAGTGAGTGAGTTTAGTTTTACGCAGCTGTTAGCAATATTCCATCAATATCACGGTGGGGGACACCAGAAATGGGTTTCACACATTGTACCCATGTAGGGAATCGAGCCAAGGTAGGTCTTCGGCGTGACGATGGAACGCTTTAACCACTAGGCTAACAACCCCCAGTGATTCATGAACACTTGTGATGGCAGGAGAAGCATCCAGTTTAGATAAACATACACCTGGTGTTATTTTTTACTTTCAATGATCCATTAAGTTGTTCTATTGTCAAAATAAAACATCATAACCGTTTCAGAAAACGACAAACGTTTGTTAGATTGCACTGAAAATTCTATTGAATTCTATGTTTAATAAAGGATAAACTGTTTGGCACAAAAACAAATAAGGAACGTAGACGTTTTGAGATAACTGACACAATTTGGATTTAGAAACTAATTATTCGTTAGTTTAACCTAATAAAAAAGAGCATACACTACACGTATACATAGTCAAAATGTGTTTTATAGCAGTAGAGTGAGTGAGTTAAAATTTATCGTCACATCGGCAATATTTCAGCCATATCGTGACGAGAACAATTAATTTTATGCATAGTAATTAATGGTTAATTGTAAACACCTGTCAACGAAGGACAGTAAAATAACTAGATTATCACAGATTCGAATTTAAAATTAGCAATTAAATCTAAACCAGTATAACAATAGATGACAATACAAGGTAAAAGCAGGCTATATATTGCCTGAAGGCTATATACTACACTGAAGGTAGATATAGCAGTAGAACTCACCTGTAACAAACGTAACACTTGAATACAGCAGTGTGACCTTGGTCAGAGAAAACATCTTTGATCCAAGAAATGGTGAACAATTTAATTTATGTAGGCACTATCAACACCGGTTTCAAAGTGACAGGGACTCAATAGCATAGCGATTGGAAGCCAGGACTGTCCCGTTATAAGGAATATAATATTCATGTACTCTGATCAAAACAATTAGCATATTTCGATTCAATAAATCAAACAAAGAAATCTATTCCCACACACATAAAGACATGCATACATGTTTAATTTGACTCTTGTTAACATATTAACCCTTGAGAGATTTAGATTACAAGGCGACAGTATTTCCAAGTTAAGCGTGACTAAATCCTACAAACGAAATAAGTGAGGATAACAATATTCGTTACATAAAAACAAAAATAAAAAACAATCAAACTTTGATCGGATACACTGTCAGTGCATATTCACAGTCATCATAACCTGCGATATGACCGATAATCGATAAACATGATGGTAAGCAAAATGTATTTGAATCGAAATTGCTGGAGTGGCAAACATCTCCGAGTGTTGTCTCGATGCTATCAGTAAATCACGTGTATTCTTCACAAGAAACCACGTGTATTTGTTTCATCGTTCCATTGCCTAATAGTAATACTACCCACATCCCTAACTTATTGATTTTCTTTCCCATAGGCAATACGTCTGATCGCATATGAACGTGTTTTGATCAATGATAATTAATAGTACCTGGTTTTTATCTTTGCTCCAGTAATTTTCAAAATTAGTGTAAATTGATTCATCACGGTCCAACAATGACTTTATTTCAATAACATAAGGATGGAAAATGAGTTAATCAGTAAGGAGTGTAAGGGATCGGTGAACAAGTGCTCGACATAGCTTTGACAAGAGTACTTTTTGATGAGGATCACGATTGATTTTCAAAATCAATAATGTTCCATTAAAATCACGGTTTGCTGTAATAAACAAATATTGCGGATGTAAGTACAGATTGTGCTATGGTAAATACGTTCAGGGTACAGTAGGGTTGAAGAAACAAACAAATCCACCTTGTCTGAGGATGATGACGTGCAACTAGCCATGTCACATAACCTGACTATCTGGCGCGTTGAGTGGCTACCAACGATACCCGTGACGATCCGGGTTAGAATTGGTCTTCAGCAACCTGTGCTTATCGGAAAAGGCAGTGTAGAACACGTTTATATCAACAATATATTCTGCAAGGTTTAGGATGAAAGCAAATGAATTTTCAAACTCCTTAATATGGATTGTATCCTTAGTGTTCGAAATTTCTGTTGCTCACATCGTTCATCGTATTATGCAATACAAGAGAAACCTTGACTAACAAGGTTGATAGAAGTGATAGAAGATTATATGAAGGTAATCTGAATATACATGTGTAAGTATTTATCCGTTATGAGAGACTGGGCCCGTGAAGATCCGGGTTGGAATTAGTCTGCACCAACCCATGCCAGTAGTAAATGGCGACTAACGGGATCGGGGGGTCAGGCTTGCTGACTTGGTTGACACATGCCATCGTATCCCAATGGCGTAGATCAATGTTCATGCTGTTGATCACTTTCAACGAACAGTGAGTGAGTGAAATGTAATTTTGCACAGCAATATCTGCGCCATTCATTTGGTTAACAGCTAAAACACAAAGAAGAAGAGTATTTTTTAATCGAGCCGTTAAGAGTGTTTGATTGGGCGTTTCTTTATCTACATCAGCTAAATCAGATATGTTTTAAATCAAAATTATGAACTTAACATTCAACCAATGTATTTAAAAATATATTTTATGTTTTTAAACACACTCGTTGCAAAATACGATATGTAACGGGGACTGATTTAGTAATCGATCCCAATGATAAACTAGAATCGTTCCCGTACAACTTGGTAAGATTATAACATACCGCCAAGCTAACAGACTTGTCTAAGTAACATTTCATAGTATAGCACAATGCCAATGTATATGGACATTTGACGAAAACAATGCCGGGATGTACTGTCAATGGACAAATATATGAAAAGGGACATGCGCCCATAAAATGTGGTCACATTGTTCGTTTTCAAAACACGTATGGAGATATTTCAGTAAGGGGCCTTTATCTTGTGCCAGTAATATACAATGACTTACCGCTAAAGATTGTACATTAGTAAAATATTCAAATTGTCCCTTACATCAAAGGACACACATATAAGATGAGACCCGTGCCGTTAAAATGTGCTCATATTGTTCGTTTCCAAAACACGTATGGATATATTTCAGAAAGGCGTCTTTTCCCAGTACTATACCATCATATGCAGCTAAAGATTGTACATTATTAAAATAATCAAATTGTCCCTTACATTTACTCACCTGATAGAAATGTTGGATAGGCGAGAAATACGGCCGTATTCAGTAGGAACATGTTTTCACCACGACACCTCATTGTCATTTAGGGTTTGCACACTTTGGAAAACCCTGCCATCACTCTAGGCATTTTATCCAGTTGAGCAAATCAATATGCTTTGGTGTACGTCAACAAAACTGAGTACTGAGCATGACGAAAGAGTACAGTCTCTGTATCTATAAATAACATCTTCTGTTCCAGATTGCACACAGGGATGAGACTCAATAATAGGAAGAGGACATTAACGATCAAAACGATCTAAAGATTCCGGAGCCAGCACCGTTATTCTACCTGTAGTAAGCAATAATAAAAGAGTACCTGTAGAATTGACCAATATGGTCTTTAGTCCTTTACAATGAAATCACATACCCTAACACCTATCTCTTAACACTGGCACTTCACAAACTGCTTAAAGTAATCAAAGCAAACTAGTGTAACATCGGGGTGACAACCCAGAGACAATCCAGTGATCAACAGCATGAGCGTCGATCTACGCAATTGAGATACGATGACATATGTCAACTGAGTCAGCGATCCTGACCACCCGATCCCGTTAGTCGCCTCTTAAGACAAGCATGGTTTACGACAATCATGGGTTTCTGAAGATCAATTCTAACCCGGAACTTCGCAGGTTGACCAGTTAAGGCTATAAATGGCATATACAGTAATGAAAGTGACAGAGTGATACGGGTTGGCTGACATGTCAGTGCTGTACAATGCGAGAGTGATAAGGATTAATTTTTTAATGCAAATTAGCGTCATATTAATAATTACAAATAATATAAGTCCCACATGGCTTGTCTAGATAGTTTTGGGTCTTCAGAAATATTTGGGCGATGGTTGTCCTGAATTAGTCACTATGACAATACTAACGACCTCCCAAGTATGTAAACATGTACTGGGGACCTGCTAAAACATTTAGCTATATTTAAAAGACAAACACAAATCAAACAGGAGGTGAGGTGAGGTGAAATTGGGTTTAACGTCGTGCTTGAGAATATTTCGCGTTCGGGGATCGAACCCACGACCTTCCGCTCTCCGGGCGGACGCTCTAACCACTACACCACGGAGGCGGTATCAAACAGGAGAAGACAATCTCCTACCCTGATGCTAAACGGTAAATACATCTCAGCAAGTCATTCACGCTTCTAATATCTTATTCCGCAGCAGTATCCATAGGCACTGAAGAACTCTGTTATATAATATTTATTTCCTCCATTCTGAAGAGTGAGTTAAAATTAAGTCACATCGGCAAGATTTCAGCCATATTGTGACTATAAAAGTTATAAATTAACAATACACGCAGTTAAGTTATAAACAGTCCTGTCGACGAAGGACAGTAAAATGAATAGATTATCACAGTTAAAGAATTAAAACTAGCAAGTAACCTTTCAAATCAGACAAATAGTACAGACAATACAATATAAAAAACGGGCTGGACATCACCAGCAACTGAAGGTTGATCACCATATGTTAGGGACCATGGGGACTTACGGTACCTTTGCTACCTGCATGAACCCTAGCTGAATTTACACCAGCCCTTCAGCCGCTGGTGATTGTAGGTATATTTAGCCATAACTTAAAAGGACAAAAATGCTTCGTTTTAAAATATTCAGTAACCTTAATTTACCTTGAAAGTTTTGGGACTCACGTCCCCCACCGGAGGACAATAATTTTACAATACTTCAACTCCAATCTGTTACATCGGCAATATTTCAGGCATATCGTGACGACAGAAAGTTTTACCTTGAGGATAAACATGTTTATTCCTTATGAAAAGCTGTCATGGTAGGCGTATGGCAAGTATGTTATCACATTTTATATTTATAACTATTTTGAGATCAATTCAAAATGCTAAATCTTTTTTCAACACCACAATATATAATCTGGCTAAAGATCGCCATCAGTTCCGCTCCCTGTCCCAAAGGTGGATTTACACTATCCCCTTTCATGTTATAAATAATGTGAGCTGCAATGCAAACACAGGCCCTAAGATATGTAGTCACGCTTATTGAAGCGCAAATCTGACAAACATAACACATATTTGCTCTTTGCACGATTGGTTGCATTTTTGTATAAAGCCGCACTCAGCTCTTAGCAATATTCCACCTATATGGCAGCGGTCTGTAATACGCTTAAACAGACGTAGAAGTACGATGTTGCGAATCCCAATTCCATGTTATTGTTTTGATGGCCCAATAACTACAGACTTACAACTTCAAATTTAAATTTCAACTTTAAGTAGGATGATGTGTTCTTTTAAATGTCTGTGGGGGTCATGGGGATTTGTCATCTTCTGATGACTCTTGTCAACACTTTGCTGGCTAAGGAAGTTAGTAAGCCTGGAGAACCATTGATTTGACAGCGAGGTGTTTTTGTAGGGTTTTTTCTTCTTGCACAGACAGGATGCCGAACCAACAGAGAAATCTAAAAGTCAATATGCTTTGAATATGTATTTTGTAAAGAAGTAAAACAAATGGTGGAAAAAAATACAACCTTTCTTGGCACTTTCTCTACACACATTCAGTATCGTCCTCCCAGTTTAGAACCATTGATAGTGGCTTAATACTTGTACTCATTAACAATTTGGATTCAGTTTGGCCGGATGGTGATTTCGACTTTAGACAATATATATAATCATCTCTTTAGTTTTATTTGTGTTGAATGCTAAGTAATTGTTTTGTACTAGGAAGTTGATATTGGGCATGAAGTGTGCAGCGGGGCATGGGGACATCGCACGAGGTTGACCTGTTTGGTCATTTTGACAAGGCGTCCGGCTTCGGATGTGAAGGTCCCTGGTTCGAATCCCAGCACGGGACTCACAATATTCAGACTATTGGGATTATATTGATTATTTACCGACCGCCGCTAGACCACCACTAGACCTATTTATTTTATGTTTTTTGTTTGGAATATAGTAAACGGATTTATAGGTCTTGCTCGTACAGACTCAGTAATAAGAAGAGGACATTAATTATAGTTTATTGTATGAGGGCAAACAGGGACCAACAAGTACGATATTTTAACGTCTCTTTGGTATGACGCGGTCGGGGATCCATGCGGATGCTCTTATCACTACACCACGGAGGCGGTATCAAACAGGAGAAGTCAATCTCCTACCCTGATGCTAAAAGGTAAATACATCTCAGCAAGCCATTCACGCTTCTAAATATCTTATTCCGCAGCAGTGTCCATAACGCTGAAGAACTCTGTTACAGTGAGTGAGTGAGTGAGTTAAAATTTATCGTCACATCGGCCATATTTCAGCCATATTGTGACTATAACATTTATAAATTAACAATAAACGCAATTAAGTTAAAAGAGCCTGTAGACGAAGGACAGTAAAACGAATAGATTATCACAGTTAAAGAATTAAAACTAGCAAGTAACTTTTAAAATCAGACAAATAGTACAGAAATTACAATTTAAAAAACGGGCTGGAGATCACCAGCCACTGGAGGTTGATCACAAAACTAGGGACCATGGGGACTTACGGTACCTTTGCTACCTGCATGAACCCTAGCTGGATTTACATCATCTCTTCAGCCACTGGTGACTGTAGGTATATTTAGCCATAACTTACAATGACAAAAATGCTTCGTTTTAAAATATTCAGTAACCTTAATTTACCTTGAAAGTTTTGGGACTTACGTCCCCCACCGGAGGACAATAATTTTACAATACTTCAACTCCAATCTGTTACATCGGCAATATTTCAGGCATATCGTGATGACAGAAAGTTTTACCTTGAGGATAAACATGTTTATTCCTTATGAAAAGCTGTCATGGTAAGCGTATGGCAAGTATGTTATCACATTTTATATTTATAACTATTTTGAGATCAATTCAAAATGCTAAATCTTTATTCAACACCACAATATATAATCTGGCTAAAGATCGCCATCAGTTCCGCTCCCTGTCCCAAAGGTGGATTTACACTATCCCCTTTCATGTTATAAATAATGTGAGCTGCAATGCAAACACAGGCCCTAAGATATGTAGTCACGCTTATTGAAGCGCAAATCTGACAAACATAACACATATTTGCTCTTTGCACGATTGGTTGCATTTTTGTATAAAGCCGCACTCAGCTCTTAGCAATATTCCACCTATATGGTGGCGGTCTGTAATACGCTTAAACAGACGTAGAAGTACGATGTTGCGAATCCCAATTCCATGTTATTGTTTTGATGGCCCAATAACTACAGACTTACAACTTCAAATTTAAATTTCAACTATAAGTAGGATGATGTGTTCTTTTAAATGTCTGTGGGGGTCATGGGGATTTGTCATCTTCTGATGACTCTTGTCAACACTTTGCTGGCTAAGGAAGCTAGTAAGCCTGGAGAACCATTGATTTGACAGCGAGGTGTTTTTGTAGGTTTTTTTCTTCTTGCACAGACAGGATGCCGAACCAACAGAGAAATCTAAAAGTCATATGCTTTGAATATGTATTTTGTAAAGAAGTAAAACAAATGGTGGAAAAAAATACAACCTTTCTTGGCACTTTCTCTACACACATTCAGTACTGTCCTCCCAGTTTAGAACCATTGATAGTGGCTTAATACTTGTACTCATTAACAATTTGGATTCAGTTTGGCCGGATGGTGATTTCGACTTTAAACAAAATATATAATCATCTCTCTAGTTTTATTTGTGTTGAATGCTAAGTAATTGTTTTGTATTAGGAAGTTGATATTGGGCATGAAGTGTGCAGCGGGGCATGGGGACATCGCATGAGGTTGACCTGTTTGGTCATTTTGACAAGGCGTCCGGCTTCGGATGTGAAGGTCCCTGGTTCGAATCCCAGCACGGGACTCACAATATTCAGACTATTGGGATTATATTGATTATTTACCGACCGCCGCTAGACCACCACTAGACCTATTTATTTTATGTTTTTTGTTTGGAATATAGTAAACGGATTTATAGGTCTTGCTCGTACAGACTCAGTAATAAGAAGAGGACATTAATTATAGTTTATTGTATGAGGGCAAACAGGGACCAACAAGTACGATATTTTAACGTCTTTTGGTATGACGCGGTCGGGGATCCATGCGGATGCTCTTATCACTACACCACGGAGGCGGTATCAAACAGGAGAAGTCAATCTCCTACCCTGATGCTAAAAGGTAAATACATCTCAGCAAGCCATTCACGCTTCTAAATATCTTATTCCGCAGCAGTGTCCATAACGCTGAAGAACTCTGTTACAGTG